TTAGCACAACAGTAGGTGGAGCAATATTTAAATGAACTTGCTATATTTCACCAGAATTAAATTAGTATTAATCTGAGTTGATTGCTATAAATGAAGTAATCCCTACAGCAACTGTTTAGAAAAAAAGTTTAAACATACAATTTAAAAATCAAGAGAAAAATTAAGATGGTACACCAAAAAGCATTTCCTTCACACAAAAGAAGGCATGAACAGAAGAGCAGAGGAAAGAAATTACATAGATATGTAGAAGATATTTTGCAAAATGGCAAATTTAAATCCAACAATATCAATCATTACATTAAATGTGAATGGACTAAATACTTCAACCAAAAGGCAGACACTTCCAGACTGGATATAAAGGGAAGACCCAACTGCACCTTGTCTACGGAAGATACACTTAGAATGAAAGTAACATATAGGTTGAAAGTAAAAGGATGAAAAAAGGTATACCAAACAAACAGCAGCTATACAAAAGCCTAAGTGGCTAGATTAATATCAGACAAAATAGACTTTAAAACAGCAATATGACTAGGGACAAAGATATTTCAAAAAATGATAATGATAGAATCGATACATCACAAAGACATAATTATAAATTATATGCACCCAATTAGAGCCTGAAAATACTTGAAGCAAAACCTGACACACTTGAAAGAGAAATAAGCAATTCACAATCATAGCTAGAGAGATAAATACCCTGTTTTCAATAATTGATTTTTAAAAAGACAGAAAACCAGTAAGGATATAGAAGACTTGAAAACATTATCAGTCAACTTGACCTGTGATTTATGAAGATTTCCACACCATTGACAACAAGACACACATTCCTTTCAAACACACATGGAACATTCTCCAGGACAGATCAAATGCTAGGCCCATAATACATGTCTCAGTAAGTTAAAAAAAACACAAAATCATGCCAAGTATTTTCTCTGAGCACAATGGAATTAAAGTTGAAATTAACAATTAAAAGGAATTCGGGAATTCACCAAATACTTAAAATTAAATGACAAACGTTAAAGAAAAAATCATGAAGGAGATTAGATAATGTCTTGAACTAAATGAAAACAAAAACACAGTATATCGAAATTTGTGGAATGCACTTACAACAGTACATAGAGGGGAATTTATAGCTTTAAATGCTTATATTAGAAGCAGAAAGGTCACAAATCACTCTAAGCTCCAGTCTTAGGAAACTAGGGGAAAAAAAAGACAATTCAACTCAAAACAATCAGAAGAGGCCGGGCACGGTGGCTCACGCCCGTAATCCTAGCTCTCTAGGAGGCCGAGGCGGGCAGATTGTTTGAGCTCAGGAGTTCGAAACCAGCCTGAGCAAGAGCGAAACCCCGTCTCTACTAAAATTAGAAAGAAATTAATTGGACAACTAAAAATATATAGAAAAAATTAGCCAAGCATGGTGGCACATGCCTGTAGTCCCAGCTACTCGGGAGGCTGAGGCAGAAGGATTACTTGAGCCCAGGAGTTTGAGGTTGCTGTGAGCTAGGCTGACGCCACGGCACTTACTCTAGCCCAGGCAACAAAGCGAGACTCTGTTGCAAAAAAAAAAAGTATTATACACAATGTCCAGGAAGGATTAATCATAGGAATGCAAAGTTGGCTCAACATCCAAAAATCTATCAAGGTAATACATAGTATTAATAAAGTAAAAGTTAAAAAGCCATGAGAGGCCAGGCACAGTGGCTCACACCTATAATAGCAGCATGTTAGGAAGCCAAGGCGGGAGGATCACTTGAGGCCAGGGGTTTGAGACCAACTTGGGCAACATAGTGAGACCCCATCTCTACAAAAACTAAAAAAAATTAGCCAGGCATGGTGGTGTGTGCCTGTAGTCCCAGCTACTCGAGAGACTGAAGTGGGAGGATTACTTGAGCCCAGGAGTTGGAGGCTGCAGTGAGCTATGATCGTACCCACTGCACTCAGCATGAGCGACAGAGTGAGATCTTGTATCAAAAAAAAAACCATATGAACATCTCAATCGATGCAGAAAAAGCATTAGAAAAACAAATCCATGTCTTATTTATGATAAGAACTCTCAACAAACCAGGAACAAAGGAAACCTTTCTCATCTGTTAAAGGGCATCCACAAAAAACCCACAGCTAATATCATTCTTGATGGTGAAAGACTAAACGTTTTCCCCCACTAAGATAAGGAACCAGGCAAGGATATCCACTGTTACCACTTATATTTAACACTGTACTGGAGGCTGTAGACAGCGTAACGAAGCGAAAGAGAGAAAGGCAAGCAGAAATGAAATTAAGAAAATTCCATTCACAATAGGTCCAAAAATAATAAAATAGGAATAAACTTAACAGAAGCAGTGCGCAGCCGGCAGCACCCAGCACCTACACAACCAAATACTGTAAAATACCGCTGAAATTAAGAAGATCTAAATTAAAAAAGACATATCCCATATTCATGGATTGGATGACTCAATGTTGTTAAGATGGTAATATTCCCAAAATTGGTCGGTAGATTTAATGCCATCCTGATAAAAATCCCAGAAGGTGAGAAAAATAGCAGAGTGGGAGCCTCAACCTCTTGTTCCCCCACAGAAACACTGAAAACCAAGCAGAAACTGTCAGAACCAACTTTTTCAGAACTCTGGAAAACAGTTAAAGGTTCATAGCAACCACGTGAATGCTGACTCAAAAAAAGACAACTTTGAAATGGAAGAAAAGATTTGTGGTGTTTTCACTTGTTCTTTTCACTGCGCAGCAGCAGCCTTGAAGAGGGAAACCCTATTCCCGGTGCAGAACACTGGTCTCTGGTTCCGGAAGGAGCAGAGTAGACCTTATTTGCAAATGACTGTGTATGTCTCTCCTAACCTGTCTCGGGGAGCGACCTGCAGGACTGACGCAGCCACTCACCTCTGCTTTGCCTAACTCAGAAGTCAGGCTGGAAAAGTGGCGGGCACTGCTCAAAAACTTTGCAAGCCGAGCTAACAACCCACAGAGGTGCAGGGCAGTAGATTACAGGCAAAATACACAACTTGCCTAAGGCCCAGCAGCAAGAGCTGGGGAGGGTTTTTTAGGGAAAGGAGGACACTCAAGAGCACCTGTGTTCTTGGGGGAATTTCGAAGGCCATGAAATGGCCATGCCCAGGGTAAGACACGTGTTCAGAAGAAAACCTGAGAAGATCCCAACTTTCACCTCAGGCTGACCAATCTAGGCTCGTGCGAGCCTGACTGAGTGTTGAACAAGGGCCTTGGCACAGAGCCAATCCGGGAAGTCTGCAAGAAGGTTTTTGGGCTGGTTGGTTTTTAGCTCAAAGGCCTTTCACACAAAATACCTATTCTTGGCACCAACAGATAAAAAGAATAAAACTATATGACCCTCTCAAGAGCTCTCCCAGTGCTTCCATAAAATCTATAATGATTTATAAATTTTTAAATAATTAAGTAAACCAGTTATAAAGGGTGACTTTCTTAACCTGTTGTAATATATTTCAGCTGAAATCTCCAGGCCAGGACACAACTTAATAGTGAACTATTAGAAGCATTTCCAATAAAATCAAAACCAAGAAGGAAAGCTACCATCATTCCAACCACTGCAAGAAGACAAGAAAAATAAATAAAAGACAAAATACGGGGAAAAGAAAGAAGTGGTAGAACAGTCTTTATTTGAAGAAAATAGGATCTTTTATCTAGAACTAGCAAAATAATCATTTGACAAACTATTAAAAATGAGTTCTGTAAAGTGGCTGGCTGCAAGATCAACGTGCAAAAATAAACAGTGGTGACTGCTTAACAAATGCAATTTTAAAAATCTCTTTTGAATGGCCCTAAATATTCTCAAGTGCCCAGGTATAAACCTAGAAAGAAAACACAGGCCTTTAAGGAGACAAGTATAGTAACTAATTTTTTTTAATAGGCTAAAAGATTTCTAAGTTGAATTTAAAATCTTATGAATAACTATGCTTATAAACTTGTGTTCTTGATGTATACTGCCTTCCAATTTCACACTCAAAGTAGCTGTCGTCGTTTTTCTGCATACAACAAAGCCAGTCTGGGATAAAACAAAAACTCCACATTGACAGACAAAAGGACGTCGATGGATGGGTGGGGACTCCACAATCCTCACCGGTCCACAAGCCCCAGTGAAGGAACTGCCCCGGCCCTTTGACTTTGTTCTTACCTCGCTGTGAGACCATCCCCCATCCGGTTGCCCAGCAATTAACGCTGGTGAGGTTCACTTCTGGGGGCGGGAGGCAGATGGGGAGCACGGAGTCAGAGAACACAATGCGGGACTTCAGCTGCACCAGGGCCACGTCGCCTCCGATGGGGTGGTCCAATTGGTACGAGGGGTGCAGGATCACCTTGTTCACCTCGAACCACTGGGTGTAGTTGCCGGCTACCTTGAGGTTCACGAGGCCCACGTACACGTCGTAAGTCTTAATGCTCTTGTCACTGCAGGGGCCAGAACAAAGGCACAATGCCCGCAGCCCCCCGGGCCACCAGCGCACAGGCCCTGGGAGGCCAAGAGCGCGGGGTGGGGGGTGGGGGTGGGCCTGGGGGGCTGGGCTCAAAGCGAGCCCCATGCTGGCCGCACTGCGGGGGCTCACCTGGCTGTCTGGCAGTATTGCCCCCAGAGGAGGCTCGCCTGGGGCCGACGGGCTCCAGCAGCCCGACAGGTGGGACCCTCTCTCTCACTCTTACCCAGGACACCTCCCGGCAAAGGGCAGATGGCCCCAGGGGAGCCGAGCCTCCGTGCGCAGGGCAGCTGCGGGGCACCGGACGTCTGAGGTGCCGCGCACAGGGCCAGGCGCCCGGGGACCCGGCTGTGCGTTTCCGGACTCGCCCTGCGCTTGGGGACCAGCCTCGCGCGTGGGGACCAGGCGGTGCACGGTCAGCCGCAGCGAATGAGCTTGTGCGCATGGAGACGAGCCTGCGAGCTCGGGGACCGGCCTCGCGCGCGGGGAGCAGGCAGCGCATTTGGGGACCAGGCTCGCACTTGGGAGCCCAGCTGTGCACCTGGGAACCCGGCCCTGCGCTTGGGGAGCAGCCTCGCGCGTGGGGACCGGGTGGCGCGCGTGGGGACCGTCAGAGGCGCCCTGTCCCCGCCCCCGCCCCCTCACCGGTCGAAGCAGTGCGCGGCCGACAGCACCCAGTACTCGTTGAGGATGGAGCCGCCGCAGACGTGGAAGCCGGCATAGTGCACGCTGACCTGCCACGGCCACTTCCTCTCGGGGGCCGGGACGCCGCCCAGGACCCTCCCTTCCACGCCACGCCGGCCGCAGTCTGTGCGGAATGGACGGGGCGAGGACTGGAGCTACGCCGGGGCCGCGGGGGGCGGGGGAAGGAAGAGGGGGAGGAGGAGGGAGAGGATATGGGGGAGGGGCGGGCAGGGGACGGGGAGGGCCCCGCCCCCACCCAGGCGAAGGGCCCCAGGGCCTACCCCTGTCGCCACTCAGGGAGATCCTCTCGCTCTTGGGGTGTCCGTGGACCGCAGCAGCGACCCGAGCGGGGGTCCCCATGAGGAGCAGAAGTAGCAAGCACAGGGCCGCGCATCGGCGCCTGGCGGATGAGGGGGCGGCCATGAGGCCGGAGTCGGTGCCCCCAGCACGTGACCCGGGACTGCGCCCCCCAGCGGGCGAGGGCATTCCCCCCCACCCCCCGTGCATGTGACTGCGCCCCCAGCAGGTGACTATGCCCCATCACGTGACTATGCCCCAGGACGTGAGTGCGCCCCCGGGAGGTGACTCTGCTCCCCGCACGTGACTATACCCAGCCTGGACCCCTAACAGCACCCCCACGCATGATTGCGCCTGAGCCCTGGACACATGACTGACACCAACAGGTGACAGCATGCCCAGCAGGTGAGCCGGACACGTGATGGTACCCAGTCCGGGTGCAGCAGGTGACAGTATCTGAGTTCCACCCCAGTGCCCCTAGGTTTGGGTAGTCGGGGTCCCATAGTCAGATCGGGACGCGCTGGCTCCATTTGAGACTTCTGCGTTGTAAATCGCGATGTTCTCGGCTTTCTCAGTGGCAGAATTGATTCTTTTAGGTCAGTTACTATTTATTTACACAATCTGCCACCCAGCTGTCAAAAACCTTTTTATTAAGGTTTCATTTGCACACAGTAAAATTCACTCCGTTTTGCAAGTTTTGACGATTGCATACAGTCCTGATGCCGCTACCAAGATATGGAAAAGTACCAGAGGATTACCTAACAACAGATGGAAGATTTATAAAACTTCATTGAGAGATGTTAAAAGCAAATGCAGAGACACGAAGGCTTAATGTTATTAAATAGAAACACAATTGTTTCCAATCAATCTATAGAATCAATGCAATTCCAGTCAAAATCCTAAGTTTTTAATTAAAATTATTTTTGATTGCTCATAATTATATTACATTTAAGGAGAACAATGGGATATTTTGATACATGTATACAATGTGGAATGATTAAATCAAGCTAATTAACATATTCATCACCTCACTTAACATTTTTTGTGGTGATATATTTGAAATTTACACTCTTAGTTATTTTTAAATATACAATGCATTTTTCTTGACTATAGCCACCCTGCTGAGCAATACATCTCAAAACTTATTCCTCCTGTCTGGCGGGAATTCTGCACCCACCAACTCCCCATGCCCTGTCTCCCTGTGTAACCACCATCCTACTCTCCACTTCTATGAATTCAGCTTTTTTTTAGATTTCACGTGTAAGTAATACCATGTGGTATTCACCTTTTTGCGATTGGTTTATTTCACTTAGCATAATGTCCTCTAGATTTATCCATGTTGCCCCAAATGATAGAATTTCATTCTTTTTTAAGGCTGAGTAGCATTCCATTGTGTATATATATACCACGTTTTCTTTACCCGTTTATCAGTTGGTGGGCACTCAGGTTGATTCCAGATCTTGGCCATGGTGAATAGAGCTGCAGTGAACGTGGGAGCGAAGATATCTCTTTGGCGTTCTGATTTCATTTCCTCTGGATACGTACCTAGAAGCGGGATTGCTGGATCACGTGGTAGTTCTATTTTTAGTTTTTCGAGGAAACTAATGGCAGTGCCAATTTACGCTCCCACCAACAGTGTACACCGGTTCCCTCATTTCCCCTTCCTTGCCAACAACCTTTATCTTTCATCTTTTTTGTAAAAGCCATTCTAACAGGTGTGAGGTGGCATTCATTGTGGTTTTAATTTGCATTTCCCTGGTGATTATTGCTGCCGAGCATTTTTTCCTAAAGCTGTTGGCCATTCGTGTGTCTTCTTTTGAGAAGTGTCTATTCAGGTCCTTTGTCCGTTTTTAAGTTGGGCGGGTTGTTTTCTTGCTGTTGAGTTGAGTTCCTTATATATTTTGAATATTAACCCCTTATTAGATGTATGATTTGCAAATATTTTTTCCCACTCTGTGGGTTATCTCTTCCCTTTATTAATTGTTAATTAATTAATTTGCTTTTTGTAAAAGCTTTTTAGTTTGATGCAATTTCATTTGTCTACTTTTGCTTTTGTTGCCTGAGCTTTTGGAGTTGTATCCAAAAAATCCTTGGCCAGGCCAACGTCATGGAACTTTTCCCCTGTGTTTTCTTCCAGTAGTTTTATAGTTTCAGGCCTTATGTTTAAGTCTTTAATCCATTTGGAGCTGAGTTTTGTGCATGGTGTAAGATAAGGGTCCAATTTTATTCTTTCACATGTGGATAACCAGTCTTCCCAGCACCATTTATTGAGTAGACTGTTTTTTCCCCATTGTGTGTTGTTACCACCTTTGTCAACAATCAATTGACCGTAAATGCATGGGTTTATTTTGTATCTCTTAATAATTTATTGTACAGTTGTTTTTAATAGTTTGCATTTTAACTCTCATAGTAAAGATAAAATTGCATTACATGCCACCCTTCCAGTGGTAGAGAATTCTGAATATGACCATATATTACTTATACCATTAAGTTTTTTACTTTCATGCTTTATGTTATTAATTAGCAGTCTTTTGTTTCAGCTTAAAGAACTTCCTTTTGCAATTCCTGTAGAATGGGCCTAGTGGTGATAAATTCCTTTAGCTTTTGTTTGGGGAAGTTTTTTATTTCTCCCTGTTTTATATTTCCCTCATTTCTGAAGGATAGCTTTGCTGGGTACAGTCTTCTTCGTTGGTGAGGTTTTTTCTTCAGCACTTTGAATATACATCCCACTCTCTCATGGCTTGCAGGGTTTCTGACAAGAAAATCATTGATAGCCATATTGGGACTCTCTTAAATGTAGTATATTTCTTACCTCTCGCTGCTTTCAGTATTCTTTTTTTTTTTTTTTGCATATTTTGATTATGATATGTCTTGGTGAACTCCTAAATTTGATTGAAGACCTCTGAACTTCCTGTACCTGGATGTTGTCATCTTTCCTCAGATTTGGAAAACATTCAGCCATTATTTCCTTAAATATGCTGTTTGTGCCTTTTTCTCTCTCTTCTTCAGGAACTCTCATTATTCATAATAGTGTCTCATAATTCTGGTAGGCCTTACTTTTTTTTTCTTCTCTGACCGAATCATTTCAGATGCTCTAACTTCAAGTTCACTAATTCTTTCTTCTGTTTGATCAAGTGTGTCATTGTAGCTTTCTATAAAACTTTTTAGTTCAGTTATTGTATTCTTTATCTCTAGGATTTCTATTTATTTTTTATTGCTTCTATTTCTTTGCCTGACATAGTTTTTAAATGCACACGGAAGGCTTATTTTAAATGTTATAATTCATGTGGAAGGGTAAAAGTCCAAGAAGAATAAGGCAGATAAAATTTTCCTACAACATACCAAATCTTATTGACACTATAGTATAGTAAATTTAATGGATAATGGAACTGTCCTAGTCATTCAGGATGCTATAACAAAATATAATAAACTGGGTGGCTAATAGATGACATTTGTTTGTCATAGCTCTGGAGGCTGTGAAGTCTGAGGCCAGCACGGTTAGGTTCTGATGAGAGCGCTCTTTTAGGTTGCAGAGTTCTATTATATCTTCTCCCTGTGACCTCACGTGGTGGAAAGAGTGTGAGGGCTTTCAGGAGTCCCTTTAATAATGGCACTAATCCCATTCCTGAAGGCTCCACTCCCAACCTAATCACTTTCGAAAGGTCCCACCTCTTAATACCATCACACTGGGGGGAGGATCTCAACATATGAATTTTGAGAGAACACATTCAGTCCAACAAGACTAAAGGTCAGAATTAGATCTCTCTACATATATGGAATTTAGATGCATAACCGAGGTGGCATGGGAGACCGGTGGGGAATAGAAGAACTATTCGATAAATGGTTCTTGGAAAACTGGTTATCTATATGGGGAAAATGAAATAAGAAAACTGCTTCACACTTTATACAAGAAAAAAACTTAAATGACAAAACAGAACTCTTTAAAACTTTAGATTAAAATACAGATAGGTTTGCAGTAATGGCAAACAATGTCATTAGGCCAGTTCTCCCAATGAAGACAACTGAAAATTCGTGACAAAACATAAAAGCCATCTCCATAGAAGCAGGAAATTTCTACAACCTGGTGACGAATCACCAGAATCAGACGGAGGGAAGCGAGGAGATCCAAGCATTGGAGGCTGTTTCTGCCCTTTCTGAAACGGCAGCTAGATGACTTGGTGTCATTTTTGGCAGTCTTCTCGGGTTAGGGAAACAAAAGTAGGAGTCCAGGATTCACCAAGGGTGTGGCCCCTGGTCAACCACACCTGCTCCAGGCTGAAAACAAGAAGGGACGCGTCCTGGGAGTGAGGGTGAATCAGAGGTAGCCAGCCCGTCGGTGGACGGCAGCCCAGCTTTGAGTAATCTTGGTGGCTCAGAAAAATCTCAAAGCCTGAACGTGGTATAAGGTAACTCCAGATTGCCAGTGCCTCCACGTGCTCAGCAAAAGCAAACAAAAATCCTCTTAGGGTGATGACGATATCACCCTTCCCCATAAATTACTAATAAAAACAAAATTTGAATACCTTTCCAGCACATAAGCGGAGAGGACCAGAAACATGAGATACTATGCCCTGACTGAGAACCAGCAGAAAAACAGACCTGAAGAAACCCAGACACTTGGGTTGTCGGCCAGAAACTGCAAAACAAATGTGCTTATTATGCTCCAGGGGGTAAAATCAGGCTCGTAAATTTTTTGCAACAACTGAAAACTACACATTTGACAAAGGAGATTTTTTTCCCCCTAAAGAACCAACAGAGAACTTCTAGACATGAAAAACACAAAAATCAAAATTCAGAACTCATCGAATGGCTTTAAAAACAGTTTAGACCTGGATGAAGAGAGAATTCAAGATCTAGAACACAGTCAGGAGAAACCACTTAGAACGGGAAGGGAGAAGGGGATGCCCGGAAGAGAAATCTGAATGCACTTTAGTGCTGTATGTATGCGCATTTTTTAAAGAAAAAGTGCTATTTTTGCTTTGATTGTTTGAATAAAACAATAAAAAGAACTTATGTTTCTGGCCAAGATACAGTAACAAGAGTCAGGCATACTTTCCACCAGAAACAACCAAAATATAAAACAGAATAAATAGAGGAAATTGGTTTTCAAGACCTGAACAGTAAGC